TACAAGCAGTATGATGAAGCGCCTTCGATCATGTGAATCGAATTCAAAAAATAATAATAATAAAAGTTTAAGTATTAATGAATATTTTTCTTGTCGTGAAACTAAATCTATTCCACCAAGATTTAAAAACAAAGTTTTAAATACAACTGGTGAACTAGTTGCTATGAATAATCGTGCATTTGAACTTATTGCAGGTGATGGTTTTATCAATTTTACACAAACTATATTTGATGCTGGACAATTGTTAAATTCACAAAATATTGATGTTTCCGATTTATTACCACATCCAACAACTGTAAGTAAATATTCTTCTGAATTATAAAAAGAGTACAGACATTCCTCTTTTCAAACAAAAGCTACCTCATTGATACTTATTTTTTCCTAGGTAAGTCGAAATATAGACCGGTGATTCATTGGCAGAAAATCTCAATTAAAAACTCTTTGTCAGAATATTAAATCCTATGCTATTGTGGTGGACTTTTGGACGGAATCACATTCTGGTAAGAATATGATTTTGACTGCAAATTAACTGTCATATAAAGACCAACACACCCAAAATCAAAGACGTATAATTAATTCTACATACTTTTTAGGTGTGAGTTTTTGTGGTATTTCTCTTCATTTCTTGAATGAAAAACTTCAACTGTACGTTTTTATTTTGGGTTGTTATCCATATGATCGAGAGAATCAAAATGCAAATCAAATACGACAATTTGTTGATGCTAAATTATTGGAATATGATTTAATATTGGACAACAATAAATTCGTGGTGACAGACAATGAAAATAAAATGAAGTCTTGTTTTAAAGAATCATGCACCAGAATCGGTTGTTCAATTCATTATATGAACAAGCAATTAGAGCACTGCTTTACTTCGGATACTCTAGAAAAAATTCCAGTTAATTGTGATTTAGTTCAGGAAATGTTCGATTATATACGAAAAATCGTATCTCATATGAGAAGAACACACAAACAATCAAAATTACCACGTAAACTTCAATCTTACTCTGATACTAGGTTTAACGGTGCTTTTCGTACAATGAATGTGTTTTTAACAGTTTTTGATGATTTAGCTTGTGTTTTAGATAGAACGTTTCTGGACGATTATACGCTAATAGAGAAAGATTTACTTGAATATGTTTGTTCATTTTTAGCTCCATTTGAAGAAGCAATTGAAGAACTTAGTTGTGATAAAAGACCAACAATTTATAAGGTGTTGCCATTAAGACAGTATTTAATAAATCAATGTAAAATACATGCAGATGATCATGATGGAATTCGTCAAATTAAAAATTTTATAAGTAATATGATAACAAAAAAAAATAAAGAATTACTTTTAGTTGCTCAAGAAAAGAAAATATTATTAAAAATTTGCAAAACTATTTCTTCATAGAGTAGAATAAATGACAAATATTCGTTACTCGTTGAGAAACTAAAATATTTTTTTAGGATATGTTACAATAGTAAAGTTCGCGCTACTTATAATTAGATATAGTTCGATATCTAAAGCTTCTTTTTCTGTTTAGGTACTCGTTTTCAAGATGTTTGGGTGCTGCAAGATATACATTATATTACCACCTTGTTGCATCCGTCTTTTAAAAATTTTGATGTTAATCCTAATCTTCAAGATAAAGTTATTAATTTAGTGAAAAATGAAATTATTAAACGACAACCATCAACAAGTGTTTTATCAAAATGTTTCGACTTGCCAAAGAATGATTTAAAATTATCATTAAATCCATATCAAGAATTAGATGAATACATGAATTTGAACGTTCAAATAAATGAAGTTGATGATATTTTGTTGTTCTGGTTAACACAGAAATCAAAATTTCCAACATTATTTTCGATTGTACGAGATTATGATGCCGTACCAGCATCAAACACAACGGTAGAAAGACTTTTTTCGTCATCAAAATACACAGTTTCAGATAAACGTACTACGTAGTCTTGGTGCAGAAAAAATAAACAAATTATTATTTTTGCAAAAAAATCTAGTTTTATTAAAAACATTTGATAAAAAAAGTGTTATTGAAGCTACTGCAACTGATACGAAAAGAAAAATAACTGATCCTGATAAAAAATCTACTGATATGTCATTACAAAATCAAAAACAATTTAGAACTTCAACAACAGCAAAGAAATTGAAAAAAGATGAAGAAGATGATATAGTTATTTGGGATGACGACGTGCAAGATAAAGAAAACGACGAATTTTAGTATTAATTAATTAACTGATGAATATATTTTGTGAACGTATTGCATTATAATTATTTTCATATTTTCATTTTTGCTTTGTTTTTTGAAAAAATTGATTTTTCAAGGAAATAAATTACATAGACATTTTTGAAAAATGAAAGATGTAATTATATTTATAAAAAAATAATTTTTTTCATATATTATTATTAAACAACGGTTCCAAAGAATTTTTTGGAACCGAAAATGGAACCGGTTTTTTCCGTTCTTAGGAACCGGAACCGGAACCGCGGTTCTGGTTCCGGTCCCGGGTATCGGGTAGAACCGCTGGGCTCTACCACACCCACACACCCACAACCACACCTCACCCGCGCACCCACACACCCCACACCCACGCCCACATTATTTTATCTAACTACTCCCCTTTAATTTGTACTTTGACTGAAGTTGGTATAACAGCATTGAAAAAGTTACCTCATTTTCCCGATTACCATTTGATCGTTCAAGAGGGAACAAATTCATTTGGAGGTGTAGGTTTATTAGTTCATCACTCAATCAAATATAAGGAAGTAGCAAGAGATTTAAATTTCTTGTTGGTAGAAATCGAAACTACACCAGTTTCGACACTGGCAGGAGCGGTTTATGTTCCATCCGGAACAACACCACCTTTCCATCTATTCACGAAGTGTAGAAACAAACCTTTTTGTATTTTTGGTGATTTCAATGCTAAACATGTTGAATGGAAATGTGATACGAATAATGTGAGTGGTAATCGTATCAATACATTTGGCCTTACCCACAATGCCACGGGTTGGCAAACCGAAGTACTAGATGAAGGAACATCTGATCACTTCTCCATATTAGTTCAATCACCTTTAAGTATTTCTCATTCGGCTGTATTTAGGAAAACTAACTGGAATATTTTCAACTTCTTTCTGAATTGTGTATATGAATATTGGTTAACACTTGTCTACAATTACGAGGAGCAGTTCTTCTTCTCTCACTTCTCAGCATTTTTAGAAAGTCTGTGGGACAGATGTAGTTTTTACAAACCCGCTAAACAGCATCGGTCTCCATGGCCATACTACCTGGTGTTACTAGCCAAGGAAGTGAATAGAAGTAGACGTCGGTACCGGCGTAATAAAACTTTAGTCAACTTAAATAACTTTATTGAATTAAAGAGCATTTTCTATGATGTACGTTCTAAAATAATGAAACAGAAATATGAAAATAAATTAGAATGGATAAAGAAAGATAATAATATATTGAAAATTGCTAACCCGATTTTCCACTCATATGCATCACCGTTTCGTGGTCTAACCGTCAATGACAAAAAATTACTGATTCTGAAACTATAGTTGATAGTGTAGAGAATCATTACGAGAAACACTTTGCTGAACCACAACACGATGAGAATAATTTAGTACATCAAAAATGTATATCTATCTATGAACAATTAGCATATATGCCTGTTATGTTTTGCACTTGGAGTTCGATTTGAATAGATGTTGACCTTTCTTCTATTTTATTAAAGAAAAATATCCCCCGTACAATAGTTATGCACGCACATATATAATATCAAAAATGAAGAAAGAAGAGGAGAAGAAAGACCACGAACAAAAGTAACATGAAAGAAAAACAGAGAAAGATGTCGTTCCTAACAATGCCAAATATACCAATCGATAATATTTCTATTAATGAAGTTAGTTCAGAATTTAAAAAATTCTCCCCAAAAAGATCAACAGATAGTGTCGGTACATTAGCGTTCTTATTGAAAAATCTACCTGGTGAATATGTGAACATTATCACTATACTGTTTAATAAATGTATCTCTAAGGGAGAATTCTTTTCGGCAGCTAAAAATGCAAGAATAGTCTGTCTTTCAAAAGACGGAATATTCCCCACACCCGTGAAACTTAGACCGATCTCACTGCTCCCGAGTCTAGGCAAATGTCTAGAGAGGATTATTCACAATCGTATATTGAGATGGTGTAAAAATATGAATATATATATCGATGAACAATCGGGGTTCTCCCCTAGTAGGAAACTTCAAACCAGAATCATCTCGCTCATCGAAGAACTGAGACTCACACTTGCAGCTAATAATCGTCCTTCATTAGCTATATTTATCGACTTCATGTCCGCTTTCGATAACATGTGGATACCATACCTCATGACGAATTTATATGAATTACAGATGCTGCTCCAGCTGTTAAAATGGATTTATAACTGACTAAGAAATAGGACCTTTTATATATGTCATGGAGATCAGAAGTCGCGTATAGTTATGATGAAAAAAGATGCACCGCAGGGTTCGGTGATCACCACAACCCTCTTCAGGCTCCACCTCCACTTCATCTCATCTTACTTTGATACCATAGTTATACACTTATTTGCTGATGATTTAGCTTTTAATCCTCAATGGATCTCTTGAGAAGAAATTTTCTCAAAATGTGAAAGAATTGGAACAAAGAGCTGCAATAGTGCTTAAACAACTTGATAGGTTCTCAAAAGATATAATTTTACCTGTAAACGTTTTATAAACTAAAGCCGTATTGCGGGTGTGGGTGTGGGTGTAGGTACGGGTATGGTTAAAAAAGGAGCTACACCCGCACCCATACCCATACCCACACCCACACCCACACCCACACCCACACCCACACCCACACCCACACCCACACCCACACCCACACCCACACCCACACCCACCCCCACACCCCCACCCCCACCCACAC